TCGGGGGCTCTGGCCTTGTGCCTTGTCCCTTTTGAGTTTTCGTTATCGTCCTTCTCATCCCCTTTCACTTTTATGCGTTAATAAGTCATGTTCCTCTGGGAGCACAAAGAAGGTCGTCGGCTTTGAGTTCATCGACGCCGCTGATTTTCTTTTTTTTTTTCTCCCATGGTATACATTTTGCGGCATACTCTTCTTTCAATCCTAGCGAGCCAAGCATCTGCACCATAGAGAGCGACGGAAAGCCCTGGACCTCTTCTTTAGTCGATACACATTTGATGATACGCTGCGATGGTTTTATGCATCTTCTGCTCTTCTCCTGCTTCTTTTCTCTGGTTTCCGGGTGGATACCTTGTCTTTCAACCCTGGCAACATCCTACTCTTCTGCTTTTCCTCTTTTCTAGCCGCTATGACTGGGCTTGGTGTGTGTATTTGTTTTCATTCGGCTTCTTCATTCCCTTGCTGCTGTCTTTTTTTTTTTTTTTTCGGAGAAGGTAAACAGAAAAAAGGATCGTCCGAGAAAGCGATAGATGGAGATGACGACGGGATGCCTTTTAATGTTTCTTTTTTCGCTTGCTTTCGTATCTTGTTTATCCTTGAGCGGCGGAGTTTCTTTCTTTCTTTGTCTCCATTGATGTAAAGGAGAGAAAATGGAAACTGAACCCGTTGGGCGAAAAAAAGAAAAGGCAGCAGTTTCTTTTCTTCTGGGGAGTTGGGTTTTTATGAGTTGTGTTGTCTCTACGGAAAGACGTGACACAGGGGGAGGAAGCCGGACGGATACAGATTCGAAGGACGGGGAGGCATGTTTGGTGGTGGTGGTGGTAGATCCCCCTGTGTATTCTCATGTATATGCCTAACGTTTTATTCTCACTGGATATGATTATTCTGATCACTTGCATGTGTGTGATTCTGCATTTGAGGTTGATGGGTTGTTGATGTGATTATGATGTGGATGGGTATGCCCAAGATACGAAAAGGATCCTATTCGGATGGTATGTCATGTTCTGAATCAGTAGAATATCTAGATAATCCCCCCATCTATGGCACCAATTATATATATCCCGTACTTTTTGCTTCTCCTCTACACATAGATATACACTCCCAACAACAAAACAAAAGACGGCGCAAAAAGACAAAAAAAGGGAATTCAGAGCATCAGGACGCAAGAAATCAGCTCTCGCTCTCCGTCTTGCCCTTCTTGCCCTTTGACCTCTTCCTCTTCTTCCTCGTCCCATCAACGTCCCCAATAATGTTACTCGCCCCCTCCTTCTCCCCGTCTTTACTCTTCTCCTTGCCCTTGTCCTTACTCCTCTTCTTCGTCTTCTTCTTATGATGCTCCTCTTCTTCTTCAGCACCAACCAGCCGCTCAAACCCATACGTCGGCCCCGTGCTCTCGTACTCCCCGCCAAAGACTTCCCTCCGCCACTGCCTCAGCCGGGCCTTCTTCCCGAGCATCTTGCGGTCCTTGCGCTTCTTCTCCACGTCCCGGAACGTGGCCAGCTTCTTCAGCCCCGCGTACTCGTTGAGCACCTTGTCCGACGGCGCGAGCAAAATGTCGCGCGCCGTCAGGCCAAACGCCTGCGGCGACGTCTCGCGGTAGCGGAACCCGCCTGCAGAGGCGGCTTCCTTCTCCTGCTTCTTGAGCACGTCGTGGTCTGTTAGCTGCAGCTTTGCGTCGACGAGGGCTTCTAGTTTGGAGCGTTCCTGGCGGGCCTTCTTTTGGGATTCTTGCTTGGCGCGCTTGTGGTCGGAGGATTTGCGCTTTTTGGCGGCGGGCTCTTCTTCGTCGTCGTCGTCTTCCGCTTCGTCGTTGTCGTCGTCTTGCGGTTCGTCGTCGGTTAGTGTAATCTTGGGCTTTTCCTCGTCCTCGAAATCGGGAATGATGTCCTTGATGTCAATGTCGTCGTCCCACTTGGGCTTCTTGGGCTTCGCCTTCTTCTTGCTGCTCTTCTTGTCCTGGCCATCCACGTCCATGGCGTCCTCGTCTTCGGAGGCGGCATTCGCCTCGTTGATGGCGTAGTACTCCTCGTCGAACCACTTCTTCATCTCGTCCTCCCACTTGTCGTTCTCCCACGCGTCGTCCAAGAACTTCATCCACTGCTCGTCCGTCAGCTCCTTGCCAAACGCTCCGGCCGCCTGCTTGATCTTCTGGAGCTTGGCCTCGGTCTCCTCGAGCTTCAGCTTCCGTAACCGGGCCTTGTCCTCGCGGCGCTGCTGCTTCTCGGCCTCCTTCCTCTCGCGCTCGAGTTCTCTCTGACGCTTTCTGCCCGTCTTCTCCTCTCGTCGGACGGATCGCGCAGCGGCAAAGTCTCGGGCATATGACTTGAGAACCTCGTTGCTCTTTTCCGGGTCCTCGAACCGCAGGTTGTAAGCCGCCTCGAACTCCTCCGCCCGGGTGATGTTGTCCTCTCCGTCGTCGGACTCGAAAGCCTCCCAATTCCTTGAACCCTCATCGGCCACCCAGGCCCGCGCTGCCATGAAGTTGGACAGGAACGTCTCGGGGTCCTTGTCTGCATTGTCCACGTCGACTTCAGAGAGCTTCACGGCCTTTGCTCTGGAAGGGTGGACGCCGTTGGAATCAGTTTGCGCGGGTTCTTTCCGCTTGATGAATCCGTCCTCGTCCTCGTCTGATTCGTCCGAGTCTTGCTCCGCCTTGGCAGCGTTGATCTCGGACAAGAGCGATTGCTTGATTGCGTCCTGCTCTTGCTGGTATGTTTTCGGAGCGTCCTCGTCGTCATCTGAACCGCCGATATCGCCTCTCAAAAGCTTCTCCCGCTGGTAGTCGCGGAGAAAGACCGGCTTCTCCTTCTTCTCCTTGGTCGCTGCGGCGGTCGCAGTGTCGTCGTCGGGTTGGAAGAAAGTAACATCCTTGTCGTAGACGCGGGGGTCCTTGTTCCGAATGGCTTGCAGTGTAGCAGAGATTTGTGCGTCCAGGTCTTCAGTCGCGAGGAAACCGTCTTCGTCTTCTGTCTCATCGGTGGAGGAGGAATCGTCGTCGTCCTCTTCTCTCTTGAGCTTCTCCTCCACTTTAGCAACGTTAGCAATGGAAAGCCCATCTGGTTGGCGTCAAACAAGGGCCTGATTCGGCACATACATCTTTGCTTCTCCTCTCGTTTCTTGTTGTATTCGAAACGGCGCGCGTATTCCTCGTTCACCTTGAATCCTGAGCTTCCAATTGCTGCTCCTGCATCGTCTGAATCGGAGTCGCTGTCGTCGAGGAGCTTTCGCTTATTCGAGTTGGACGGCTTGTCCTTGGTTGCCGCCTGCGATGTCCGCCCAGCCATTGTGGCAGCTGTATCAGCTCTCAACTATTTGATAACGAGAAAAGACTCAATGAGGCGTCAATGCTGGGGAAGTATCGTGAATATCAGAAAGAAGGAAAAAAAAGTTGCTGTCCACCTTTGACGAATTCCGCGCCTGCAGCAGAAACTACTTCCCGTACCGACTTTTTTTTTTCTGCCGGCAGATCAGGCCCAAAGAATTGGGCGGGGAGCGGTCGGGCATAGGCGTAACGTTTAGCCGAGGCAGCCCCGCCGAAAGCGCTTTAACTGGTGAGCTGGGATTGGACAGGAAGGATACTTACACAGGCAGCTGTGTGGAGTGGCAAATACTAGCAGTCAGCCGCGGATTGCTGCAAAAGACGAAGTACTGCATACCCTCAGGCAGCTTTGCCGCTCGTACCCCAGCTGTGAGTGGCTGGTCGCTCTCCGCCTGTCGTCCGCAGGCCCTCGTCATCGTTGCGCCTCTTCGGCCGCTGCTCCAAGCAAATGCAACCGGTGCTTCGTACCCACCAGGAACTATTTGCTTGCTTGCCGACCACCAGAAACAGCGCCATCCTGCGCATCAACCTGCAGTGGCCTGTACTTTGCACTTACAAACAACTGAACCCTCGCCCGCAGCTGGACGCCAGCAGCTTGTCGACCATCGCCAGCCTCGCCCGCCTCCTCCGAATACCTCCGCTAACCGGTTCCTCGTCTCCTCCACTTCTTCATAGTCCCCAGC